CTTAGATTTTTTTTTTTTTTAAAGAAATGTATATTTTTATTCAGAGAGGATGCATGAACTTGATCCAAAGTGACAGTAAAGACATTTATTATGTTATAAAAGATTTCTAATACAAATAAATGCTGTTCTTTTAACTTTCTATGCATCAGTGATTCCTGGAAAAATTTCACCGTTTCCACAAAAATATTAAGCAGCAGAACCATTTTAAATATACACAGAGTAAGGAGAGATGACTGATAGGACAATGGCGAATGATTTGCAGATACTGAGTACCACTGACAAATATCTAATCTTGTAAAATGTGTGGTAGTGGCAGTACCTACCATATATCTAATCTTGTCAAATGTGTGGTAGTGGCAGTACCTACCATTGAACTCCGTAGTATAGAGTCCGTGTGATTGCGAATCTCGAAAGTGAAAGTAAAATGAGAGCGCGCAATCGAAAGCGGTTTCAATGCCCTGCATATTAGTAGCGGCTCCCTTATGGCCGCAATTTATATGCAGTATAATTACCCAACGATATAATTGCGAGAGAAAGTATTGAAATATATATTTTTTTATCCTCTCATCTCGTAGGCTATTTATTCTTTTTAGGGGTTCTGTAGTACACTTAATTTCCTTTCCGAACACGGAATTGGGATGCGGCGGATTGCGGGGAGTATGGGGGGTGGGGTGGGAGATCACGATGCCGGCTCAACATCGTGATGTCTGTCAGCCATCGGCGATGGACGATGGCATCGTCTATCGGCCCAACCCTACTAGCAACCTCATAAAATCATTATGTGGAGCTCAAAGCAGAGGTGCATCGAATCATATGAAAGGAAGGGCCTTTAGATACTCTTCAGTTCACTGACCAACAAGTTTCCTAACAAATCCTCACTGTACCTTGTACGTTAACAGGAAAAGTGCTGGTGAAAAAGAAGGGCTGGAAGGCCGGCATGGATCCACCGAGCTGGGAGCAGTTGATCTGCTGCGGGATGGACTGCTGCCGGGTGACGCTGGCGCTGGGGACCTGCGGCTGGCCGCTGCTTCCGCTGGGAGAAGGAAGCGTGGGACACACTGGGCCGTTCTGTGCTATAGGATGAGGGTGTGTAAACTCGCAGTGGTTGGTGTGATGAGTCTCTGAGGAGAGCTCCATGGGCAGGCCGCCGTTCACCACGCCGTTCTGCTCCAGCACGGGGATGTAGGGTAACTCCTGCTGGCTCTGGCTGTCTGAGTAAAGGCTCTTGGGCTGCTGATGCTGAGGCGGAAGCTGCTGCTCTTGTGTCGGCGATAAAGTCGCTGGCTCTGACTCCAGGGGCTCCGGATGATTGTTGGTGCCGTTCCGCTGTGCTATGCTCAGGTTGTCGTTATCCATCTTGCTGTACAGGAAGGGCGGGTTGGAAAGATAGTTCGGAATGATTGGCAGCTCTGGTTCCTTCACCTCAGGCACGTCTTCCTCTTCCACTGGAGACGGAACGACAAGCATGAATGTGACAATGTAAGGACATTAAAGCGCTTAATGAACATATACGGAAGGTTTTCTGTTTTTGTTTTTGCATTTTAGTGTATTGCAGTGTACAAAAATTATTATATGTGACCATGGAGCACAAAACCAGTCATAAGGGTCAATTTTTTGAAAATGAGATTTATACATCATCTGAAAGCTGAATAAATAAGCTTTCCATCGATGTATGGTTTGTTAGGATAGGACAATATTTGGCCGAGATAAAACTATTTGAAAATCTGGAATCTGAGGGTGCAAAAAAAAAAAAATATCGGGAAAATCGCATTTAAATTTGTCCAAATGAAGTCCTTAGCAAGGCATATTACCGATCAAAAATAAGTTTGTGATATATTTATGGTAGGAAATGTACAAAATATCTTAATGGAACATGATCTTTACTTATAAATATCTGAAAAAATAAAACACTACAAACTAAATTCAATAGTAATTTCATACAATATGAAAATGGACATTCATTTTAAGATTTGCTAAACATTACATTTAACACTATTATTAAATTTGTAGTGTTTGTAACGGTTAACTTTAAGCTAAAGCTTTAAAAAGTTGATCAAGATGTCAAAACGGTGGAAGATGGAAGGTTTTAAATATGTATTTTAGTGTTTTCAAGAATTAATACAATGCAAATATGAAATATGATGCAAAATATGAAAAGTGATAATGTTATGGCTGATCAATTCTGTAATATTTTTTCTAAAAAAAATAAAAATAAAACATTAAAAACTAAAAACAATAGTTTTGAATGCTACAAATTCACAATAGGCATCACAATATTATAAAAATTTTAATAATATAAAATGTAAACCAAAGTTTGAAGGATCTTCTGTAAAATTCATTATCTATATAATTTTTTACATTTATTATCTTTATATCTCAGGAAAGTGCATTGTAAATTGACCATGTTAACACTGAATAAAATTGTCAAAAATAAATCTCTAACATTAGTTGACAACCAATATGATACTGAAACACTGTGCATTGTGCAAAAATAGACTTAGGACATTTGATTTAATATCCAAATGTTTATCAATTTATAAATGCGAGTCATATGGATGCATATGAGTATTTGTATCGTTAAAAAAATAGTAAGCAGCACAAATGTTTCCAGCACTGATAATAAATCAGCATTTATATTCCAGTGCAGAGGTTCTCAACTTTGGCCCTCGAGCTCCAACCCTAATGAATCCCACCTGAACAAGATAATCAAGGTCTTCAGGATTACTAGAAACTTACAGACTGGCGAGTTTAACCAGATTGGAGCTAAGCTCTGCAGGAAAGTGGCCCTCGAGGGAGAAACCCTGTTCTAGTATACATATACCACTCAACATAACATTTAGGCTATAGACTGTAAATATCTAGACTTTATATGAAGGCTTAGAAAGTATCTAAGGCACCTAACACATCGTGTCCTGTGACACAGAAGGCAGGTTTTCTGAAAACATACCTCCAAGCAGTCTTCTGATTTCAGGTTTGGAAGTGAGTTGAACGGCTAACTCTTCTTTCGCTGTTAGAATGTCTTTGTCGGCTCCGGCGTTCAACAGATAGGCCACTACGTGTTTGTGGTTTCTTTTACAGGCCCAATGCAAACACGTCCTGGATGAACAAGGGACATCAGAACTTCTTAAACATGGTATGCACCGTGCACTGCATCAGACAAATGAGTTTGAATGCATACAGGCATTACTAAAACAAAGCAGTCAAGGCTTGGCATGAATGTCAGAACAAATCTAACACCTCAATTCAGTTGCTCAACAAATATCCGCAGTGAGAAAACAGAGCCTAAAGACAGGCTGTCTGATTAAGCATGTCAGGAATGCTGCCAGGCTAGATGAAATGTAAGGGCTTATCTACAGCACTCATAAACTACTGTTTATTTCAGTTCTGCACATTATAAACGGCTTTCTGCATTACATCATGACCCTTGGCTGATGCATTTTAAACCCTATTAAGACCACATTTAAACCTGAGTTATGTAACACTATACATTAAACATTTAAGCAACATACACTTTATACAATGTAAAACAATCAGGTGCAAGAAGGTAGCGAGTTGATTAGCAATTACAAACTGCCTAACACACAAAATCCCGCCCCAAACTCACACTATTGGTTCATCCGATGTTGCCTCTGCATATTAAAATGAAACTATTTTTAAACTATTAGAGAGAAAGAAAGAACGATTGCATTATTGAGGAGCAGCTGATGCAGGACTGAAGGTATAGTTCACACCAAAATGAAAACTTCATCACTCTCAGGCCATTCAAGATGTAGATGAGTTTGTTTCTTCATCAGAACGGATTTGGAGAAGTTAAGCATTTCATCACTTGTTCACCAGTGGATCCTCTGCAGTGAATGGGTGCCGTCAGAATGAGAGTCCAAACAGCTGATAAAAACATCACAATAATCCACAAGTAACTGACACGACTCTAGTGAAGGGAAAAGCTTCATGCTTATTATGCTCGTAATAAACAAATCCATCAAGATGTTTTTCATTTCAAACCATTGCTTCCAGCAAAAATACAAATCCTCTATCCATTAATATTGCTGTCACTGTATTCATCGTTTTTATTGTTAATAAACAAACCACATCCATCCCCCGCACTTTTGAAAAGCTTGCTACGCCCCTGCTCGTAATAAACAAATCCATCAAGATGTTTTTCATTTCAAACCATTGCTTCCAGCAAAAATACAAATCCTCTATCCATTAATATTGCTTTTTCCAGTGAAAAAGTCATCTTGTCTGAATCAGGAGAGAAATATGTACAGATCAAAAAAGCAGTTCTAAAAAATATGTTGGTGCTTTGATGTGAGAAGACAACAGGGAGGAAATGTTATTATGGACTCGCATCTTCATGTAAATTATCGTGATGTTTTTATCAGCTGTTTGGACTCTCATTCTGACGGCACCCATTCACTTCATTGGTGAGCAAGTGATGTAATGCTAAATTTCTCCAAATCTGTTCCGATGAAGAAACAAACTCCTCTACATCTTAAATGGCCTGGGAGTAAGTAACCACATTTCAGCAGATTTTAATTTTTGTGAACTATTCCTTTAAAAAGGGGGGAAACTGCGCCCCCTGGTCACATATCTGGCTATTCACTGTCAAGTATAAATTATGCCCAGCGGCTCTGCCATCTTCAGAATAAAGGCGAATTGCTGTTTAAGAAAAGGTTAAAATAACTGTATACACTTGGAAATCAAATATAAAGGAGCCTGTAGGCTCAGCGTTAATACGCACCATCCGTTAATCTCATTCTGAGAGTTGATGTTGACTCCGCTCTCCACTAAAGTCTTCACCTCCTCGATGTCTCCGATGGCACTGGCCTCTCTCAGACGCTCCTGTAGCTCTTTATCCAGCGATGTCGTTGACATTATTCAAGTCTTTATGGAAATAAAAGCTTCATACGAACTGACACACTGTGCTTTTAAGACAGGAGACAAAAATAGACACTCAACTTGCTCCGCCGTGGCTTAAACTGTTGTCTGTTCTGGATGATTTTCGACAGGGAAGTTGAAAGGAGTCTATTTACAGTCTTTAGATTGAAATCGGATCAAAACGGCACCGTATAATACATCGGGTTGTGTTCAAATAATCTTTCGCCGACTACCGCAATCCACTCGTATCCGCTGCACCTCCCATGTTGGGGGCAACTTTCTGTGCAACACCTTCAGATCATCATCTTTGGTTCCTACTTACGATAGCCAGTAAAACATGCTTAAAAACTAAGATAAGAGTCCGATCAGAGGTCAAGGAATACACAATCTGTAGTCAATAAACAGACAAGATAATACACTGTGATATTCTTTATTGATCAAGGAACGTCAATTGCACAATGGAAGAGCAGCAATTAAATTTACAGTGCAGCTAATATTAGTGTTTCATTAAATGTAAAAAAAAAAAAAAAAAGCAAACATTTTGCATTGAAATGGGAGAATTTACGTATTTAGTTATTGGCATACAAATATTTATTGAGATTATATTAATTGTAAATATGATTGAATTGATATCCATCAGTGTGATAAAAAAATATACATTTACATGTATGCATTTGGCTTAAAAGCGAATCACATTGCATTCAAAATACACATTTTATCAGCTTTCATGCTTTTGGAACATGGTGGTTGGTCAACAAGCGTAAAGTGGATTTTACAAGGCAGGTAAATCTTGAAATAACACTGCAGAACTATAATCCAGATAACCAATGAGGACGATCAAAGGAATTCATGGATACGGCTCTATCAATATAATGTGCACATCATTTCAAACATCTGTCTAAATTATTATTAATTTCCTTTGGTGTGAAAAAAAAAAAAAGCATCTTTTCCAGAAAGAGAGTTACGATTAATTTCAGCAAAGCCGTTGTATTATTCAGTATCTTTAAACCGTTTGAACACTGCAGAGTCCACTCAAATGTAAATACAGTGTTATTCTATTAAACCACGCTGTCCTTGTGAAACAGTAAGCACTTGTTGTTGGCGGGCATATCAACCTAGAAAATCAAAAACAGATGCATTTACAAGCCTTTGATGACTGGAGGTGGTGAATCATCACATAATCAAGCCAATCAAAAGCAAGAACGAGGTGTAGAAGGCACAATGTCAGATTAATTTGCAATGGATCATGGCCAAGTAATGGATTACAGCCTCGAAGAAAAACCTTTGAGGAGGCTTGACATGGACCATAGCATCTTAAAGTATATTTGCATCTAGCATGCACTGCACTACGCCAGATTTTGAATTAAAGGGGTCATATGATGCGATTTCAAGTTTTCCTTTCTCTTTGGAGTGTTACAAGCTATTAATTTTGGTAATAAAACACTTACAATTTCTTCCAATCGCAGTCCATTTTCCTGGCCTAGTGTTTTCAGTAATGACACATCTCTTAGACCCCACTCTGGATTTCTGTAAAACAAAATTGTTAAAAACAATATGATATACAGGGTAAAATTGTAAGAGAAGTTGTATTAAGATATTTTATGTTATCCTTTGGGAATCACATAGCAAAAAAATAACTTTCTTTCTCAGTATTTTTGTCTGGTTTTCCAGTAGAAATATCTAAACTTTCCTAAAACATGACATATATAATTTAATCTAAATGACTATTAGGCCTATAAGATATTAAAGCAGCACTATGTAACTTTTGGCGCTCTAGCGGTTAATTCTCAAGCTGTGGTCAAAGTCAACATTACTCTGAGGAGTAATTGATCCATTGAAAGCATAAGGCTGCAAAACATTATCAGATGCAAGCCATTAGAAGCCAATAAATGTAACCGAATGCATAAGAAAAAAAGTACCCCATAAGCTTCAAGTACCCCATAAGTCAGAAGCAATCCTTGTGGCTTCAGTATTTTTCCAACACCATTAAACAAACCCTGAAGCAGGCGAAAAAAATGTTAGGTGATTTATAATGCAGACATTCAACAAATAGAGAGAAAGAGAAAGAAAAGTAAGCATGCTTAATACTGTTGTGCAGGCCGGAGGTGAGATGTGCATCATGTTGATGTTCACCATGAGGTCACATGACTCGGGTTGAATTCCAGCCCAGTTCTCCCAACTCTGAGACACATCGAGATAGATGGGGGGCTTGACATTCTGCAGCTTATGATACTCTCTATATGCCTCAATACTGCAATACAAAAATGAAATCACAAATTGGTTCTTAAAATAAGTCAGACATTTAGCATTCAATAGCAGGAATTAATTTATGGTATGCAGCCTAATCTAAAGAAGAGTCGGGACTCAGGAGGGACTTTGAACTAACCTTTAAAGGGTAGTTCACGCAAAAGTTTAAATTTTGTCATTTACTCAGTTCTTCCAAACATGTATGAGTTTCTCTCGTGTTAAACACAAAAGAAGATATTTTGAAGGATGTTAGTAAGCAAACAGTTGGCGGTAGCCATTGACTTCCATAGTATTTTTTTCCATCCTATGGAAGTCAATGGCTGCTGCCAACTGTTTAGTTTCCAACATTTTTAAAAATATCACCTTTTGTGTTCAACAGCTGGAAAAAAATTGAGGTTTACAACAACTTGAAGGTGAGTAAATAATGACAGAATTTTCATTTTTGGATGAACTATCCTATAGCTCTGTCAGAATAAGTTTGTAATTGGACTATACTTAATTATTTCTCTGTTATTTTTAATTAATGAGTTAAATTCTGTGAATTAGCTTGGGACAAAACCCCAAACTTTAATGTTAGCTCTTTCAATAAAGGGTGAGAGAATTGCCTCTATTTTTTCTTTCTTTCTTGTTGACAGCAATGACATTCAGGACATTATATTTCTGACTAACACAAGAAATGAAGTAGGGCAACTTGATTTATATACATCGAGAATTGATTGGATTGTTTCATTTCTGTCGTTATCTGCTATTATTCCGTTAAAGTTTATTATATGAACTGGTATCATTTCAGTACCTAAATGATTATGTGGATATAATTTAACAATATTTATTACGCCTGCGTGACGTTCGCTCTAAATGAAATCGTTTCGGAAGGGGAGCAATAATTTGAATTTTGTGAAAGATTAGATTACATAGTTTTTTTCCTTTGGAATAACGTGAATTTATGAATAATGCTAAGATCAAGAACGTGTACTTTGAAAGACCTCTTCATTAAAAAAAATAAAAAATATCATTCGTTTTTTTACTAACTAGACTAGAGCACAGCTACAAAAAGTGACTGAACAGCGCCATCTAGTGACACATGTCTGCACCTGCACTCTGAGCAAACTGGTAAGTGAACTGTCATTATCACAAGATTGCACGGGGAAATATCAATTGAAGGGTAGATTAAAGGATTATTTCAGCAAGTATTTCAACCACGTGCCTCTTTATTATTCAGTAAATGAGATTTGTTTTCATAACTTGAATAGTTTCAACCAATGCATTTCTGCAGCAGCGTGAATGTAACTCTGGTGCATAAGAGATTGAGAGATTTCATGTCTACATCTAAAGTCAAGAATTCAAGATAAATCAAGGTGTTGCGCATATTTACCTCGACATGGACTGCGCTTCAATTTCAGACGGTTGCCATGAAATGTTGGGAAACGCTTTGGCAAAGTGAATAACATGCTGTCCTGTGCCAGAAGATATTTCCAGAGCGACCAGAGGCCTGTCTGATGCCACTCTGCTTTTTAAAACAGCGAGGATCGGGTCTTTATTTCTGTCGGCTGCTGTAGCATTCAGCATTTTACACATCCGACGACAAGTTCCTGGAACCAAGAGCAAAACGTGAATAGCTTTAACAACAGCAACTGGAAGAAGCGACGTTAGTCAACCAACCAGAAACCAACAAGACCTTTAAAAGCTGCGAAGTACGGCGAACACTTCCTAAATTGTGCAAATGCCCAAAACATATTCATGCATTTCGATGATGGCAGCTCACACCAGGTCACGTGAGATGCTCCTTCATTTCGTAACAGCGCAGAATTGCAAGGTTGCAAAAATAATTTTAGCCAATAGGTTTGTTAACTATTCACTCCGTTGAGCGGTTTAATGCACAATCTCCACTTCAGTGCAATACGATTTAGAGTGCAATCATGTATTAGATTCCACATCCCATAATGCATCGCGCTTCAACTTCCCTTCTTTTGTTTTCTTGTTTCTCAATTTTTAAAGAAACATGTCTCTTTTGTCATTTTTTGAACAAAACTGAACTGTAGAAATAGCCAAGAAGAATAGAAGCAGCTGAAGATGACTCGGGTGAGCTCATAGTTGTGGTTTAGTTTGCTCTATTTTAGCTTGGAGGTATATTAACCAGTGCGAGAAGTGTTGCAGTTGTGCAGAATACTATACTTCACTACAACGAGAAAGCCAAACCATAATGCATTAGAATATAATGTAGAATTATGTGTTGCAATACAGTGCAACAAAAACAACAGTTCACAGTTTCAACGGTTCAAAGGCACCCAAAAAGACTTCATATTATGGTTATGTGAAGTTTGTTTAATTTGGTGACTTACTAAAGCTTTATTTATGGGTCAAAGACAAGATGTCCCATTTTGTTGTCCGCGTCAAATGAAATGTACAAAAGTGATTTTATATAAACATAAAGCATAATAAATGCAAGTAAAGTGTCCACTTTAATGTTTCAAATAACTCTTGTGAAAAAATGTCAAAATATTGGTGAAATAATTGCATCATCATTCAGTGACAGATATGTTAAAGGAAAATATATATATATATATACCTGTAAAAATATAAAAGAAAAAGTTATTACACAATTTTTATTATTTTTAATGAATAAAAACTTCTCGCTGAGCTGACATATGGGTGAAATCCTTTTTGTTTGAATGATGCCTTTTAATGTCATCTAATGATTTTTGCTGTTTCCACTGTGGAAGTATGATAGTCAATATTTTTTGCTCAGAAAAAAATGAAATTAAACAGCACACATCTTTAAGGTACAGAAAAAAAAAACCAGTGGCTGGTGGTGAAAGCGCGCCACCCTGCGGGTATCTATTGTATTTTAGTTTAGGTAATTTATTTTGTATGCATTTTTATTGCTTTTTTTTTTTAAGATTTTTTTTTTTTTTTTTTAGATGACCATCTAAAAAAAAAAGTAAATATAAAAAGCTTGGATATGACAAAAAATACAAAGTAATTAAAAATATCACTTCAGAAACATTTACAGTAGATTGATTATTATTATTGTTGTTCGTTTTTTTTAATTTTTATTCAGAACATCAGCGTTTCACATCTTTGTGACGCAGTCAGAGTTGCCAAGTCCGCGTATTATACTCGACTTTGGGCTTCTTTTTTTTGTAAAGTTGCGTGAAAAAATCCCGGGTTGCGGTTTTTTGGGCTTATTTTAAAAAATATGGTTGCTTGTTAGGGAAATCTGACAAGCAACTTAGTTTCTTTATTTATGTTCGCCGTATTCTCCCATGCATTGAATGACACTCTGTCCGCTCGCAATTAATAGCCAACCAGTGCAATATTATAAATACGGCAGCGTAATTTGCCAAATGTCCCGCCCCCTCCTCGCCCTCGTTGGAGAAAATCACGTTCAAAAAGAAGGCGCGTGACGCTGTAATCCAAGTGATTATAGAAGTAGACGCAGAGGAGTGGGATGACTTTCTTTTAGTCTAATTCTTAATGTTTCTGTAATGTATTAATTATCACGGGTTGTAATAAAAAACAAGTAGTCCTATACTAATACTAAGAGTAAATAGGGTTCGAATAGCCTATATTTTAGTTGGCTATGCTAATATGTGGCTATGTTACAGTTCCCCTTCGAAACTTTTGTGTTTTTCTCCTTTTCCATCTCTCCAATCCTATTCTGCTCACAGGTGATTGGAGATGAGTTTTGTTCCCACTTTTGTTGCAGTTTGCTGATTTTTGTAAAATAGCTTCTGTTTTTGCTTTTCAGATAAAATAGTGGTTTCAGTTTGATATGTTGCAGGCTCATTTATTGGTAATAAATCATATTGATGATAATAAAAAATAAAATAAAAATAAATATTGGGCTTGTTTTGGGCTTGTTTTTGAAGCTGCGGTTGCTTATTTGTCTCGCGAGAGTTGGCAACAGTGGACGCAGTGTGTTGCAGTAAAATAGCACCGTGCAGAAAATATGGCAGAAGCGTAACTTCACTGATGACTCTTCAAGTTCAGTATGTCGAGACAAACATTACTAACACAACAGCACGCTTTACAGTGTTTGGGAACGGCGCTCGGCTTTGTACTGTTGAGATCTATCGCCACTACTCACAGATTGCCTCCTCAAGCAGATGAAGCCTCACTTTATGTCCACGTGAGTGTCTAAACACGTCTGTCAAAGCCAGTCACTGGCAAATACATAGAATGTCAAATTTATTCTGTTTTACCTGTCTGTATTTCTCCTTTTTACAGTGGCCCTATTGCCTAAAAAGATGCTCCTACTGCAACTTCAACAAGTATATTCCTCGGAATCAAAACCACGCGGTCATGACAGCATGTCTGCAGAGAGAGACACAAACCTTACTGCAGCTCAGTCAGGTCTCCAGGTCAGTGTGCAGAGATACTGTCAAATAATATGCTCTAAAGCAGGGGTGCCCAAACTCGGTCCTGGAGGGCCGGTGTCCTGCAGAGGAAACCCATTAAAACTGCTATTTTAAATCGCAGTGCCATTTAACTGTAAAAGTATGCAATTTTTGTTGATAGACTTTCATTATATTGGCAAGGCTTTAAAATGTAATTTTTTACTATTTTTTACCAGATGGTGCCATTTTTTCAGGTTTGACCTATAAAGAAAATACTCGCTTTATTTCTGTTTTCTGCTTCTGCATATTATAGAGCCAATTGGATAAATAATGCAGCTATAATTGTGTGGGTGTGTTGGTATGGATGTCAGAGTGGGGTTTGTGTGTCATAAAAAAAAAATTGTGTGCGTGTTGTTGTAATATTTGAGAGAGAAAAACTCTACTACAAATCCAACCACTGTGTGCACCAGCAGAGTTTTGCTGGCATCTAAGCAAGGGTTAATTTTCTCCTTTTTGTAAGAAATGACTAAATACAGGTTTGGAACAAGGTGTGGGTAAATAATGACAGAATGTTTATTTTTGGGTGAACTATATCCCCTTAATTAATTCTGTGCTGTCCTGTAGGATCAGCTCAGTGTTTTTTGGCGGAGGAACACCCAGCTTGGCTCAGCCCTCCACAATCGCTGCTGTCTTGGAGACCGTCTCCAAACACGCTCATCTCTCAGATGAAGCAGAGGTCACTCTGGAGGTGAACCCTACACCTGCTGGAAAAGCTAGTCTGAAAGACTTCACGTTAGCAGGAGTTAACCGGTTTTCTGTTGGAATTCAGGTACAGTTAGGTCCATATGTATTTGGACACCGACACAATTTTCATAATTTTGGCTCTGTATGCCACCAGAATAGAATTAAAATGAAACAATTAAGATTTTTAAGCTTTAATTCCAGGGGTTGAACAAAAATATAACATAAAATGCTTAGGAATTACAACCATTTTTATGGTTGTAATTCCTAATGCACTGCGCTTTAATTTTCTCAAATATTCATTATATAACTGTAACTTGAATATGTTTTGGTCAACAGCTAAAATAATTAAAATTGTGCTTGTGTCCAAATATATATGGACCTAACTGTATGTTTTGACCAAGTCTCCATAGATCTAATGCTATTCTCCACAGTCGCTGAATGATGATCACCTGAGGACACTAGGAAGGGATCACGATTCCCAGCATGCTCTCTGGACAGTGTCAGAGGCCAGGACGCTCTGCCCGGGACGCGTGTCAGTGGATGTCATGTTTGCGCTTCCAGGACAAAGTGTAAAGTCGTGGGAGAGTGAGCTGGAGAAATTGCTGCCGGTTTGTGATGATCACGTTTCACTGTATCAGCTGACTTTGGAAAGGGGTACGCAGCTTTTTAAACAGGTTGACAGCGGTGAACTAAGCGTGCCTGGTGACGATGTCACAGCTGTTATGTACAATTCAGCACGGGGAGTCCTGGAGAAAGCTGGGTTTCGTCAATACGAAGTGTCCAACTTTGCCAAAAATGTAAGTTATAATTGCTTAAATTCTTATGAGGTGAAAAAAAATAAGAAGTTCCTGTGTTGGACATGTTGGATTCCTAGGTGTACAAATAAAATGTAATGTGCTGCAAGTCGCTCTGGATAAAAGTATCTGGCAAATGAATAAATGCTACATTATATACAGTAAATAATCGAAATGTGGAAATAGTAGTTTATGGATTATGTGTTTATTGTAGAACGCTGTCAGTGAACACAATATCGGGTACTGGAAGGGACGTCAGTACATCGGTGTAGGACCAGGTACATTTGTGTGCACACTACTGTTCAAAAGATTTTTTTTAAAAAGAGATTAATGCTTTTGTTCAGGAAGAATGCATCTAATTGGTCATAAGTGAAAGTAAAGAGATTGATAATGTTACAAAATATTTATCTTTTACATAAATTGTTCTTTTGGTCTTTTTATTCATCAGAGAATCCTTAAATGTATCATAGTTTCCACAAAAATATTAAGCAGCACAACTGTTTTTAACACTGATAATAATAAATGTTTCTTGAGCAGCAAATCAGCATATTAGAATGATTTCTGAAGGATCATGTGACACTGAAGACTGGAGTAATGATGCTAAAAATTCAGCTGCGCATCACAGAAATAAATGTCATTTTAACATATTTTCAAATAGAAAACAGTTATTTTAAATTGTAATAATATGTCATAATATTATTATTCATGTTAAATCAAGTGTGATATGTGCATTGCATTTTCAGTTATACATCAATACCCCATTGTTGCTTACTGTTTTTACTGTATTTTTGATCAAATAAATGCAGGCTTGCTGAGCATAAGAGACTTCAAGTCTTACTGACCGCAAACTTTTGTTTTGTGTTCAATATCATCTGTTAGGAGCACATGGACGGTTTGTGCTGCGTGCAGTGGGAGGAGTTCAGAGGGAAGCACGAACCCAGACTTTAGAACCAGATGTTTGGATACGAGAGGTTCAGCGTCACGGTCACGGGACACGCCGCCGAATACAGCTCGACCACCACGGCCTGTAAGAC